TTCCCAAAACAGACTTTGTCATATTAAGTAGAACACTGGAGACTGTGAGTAGGGTTGATGGTGTGATTTTGACTGAGCTAGCTGACATCACTGTCAATAGACAGTTGAATTATTGCAAGCATTTGTCTAAGGTTATCTTGTCTGATACCACCAAACATCTTCTGTATTCTTAACTTTCTCCTTATATCTCTTCGGGTAAAACCGGAAGACACTTAATAAGAATTTCTGCTCGTGCATATAAGTATAGAAATTCTACGATACCATATTTAGTACGGGTTTTGTGTGGAGAGAGAGTCGGATGTCAGACAAGAACTTATAAACTTTGTAAATCAGTAAGTGAACAGCGAAGTATAAGCAAAGATTATTATTACGTGTATTATCTGTGACACCATCTACCCAGACTTCATTACGTTTCCATCGACATTCTGCTTTTAGTGGTTCCATAATTAATATTATTATTACTGTTCTAAATTTTATGTATTTACATCTTTATAAAAGGAGATGATTCCATATTAATTTGTTTATTAGATGTATCACATAGTGATACAGTATTATTTACTGGATGATGTTTCTAACAAAAGTTATTGTTCATAATCATATAAATTGTAATCACTTGATTCGAACTTTGAGTGCGTCGGTGGCACAGCGGTTAGGACTCTCAGCGATCATGTATATGGTCCGAAGTTCGATCCCCTGTTGACGCACACCTGATATGTATTGTTGGCCTGTAAAAATTGGGCTACCGATATCCATGCTGAAAATTTCGCACTTGTACTAAAAATATAGTGTGGAATCAAACTGTAATTAAAAAAGTTTTTTAAATTTATGATTTTCATTTGTCTTCTCCTATTTGACGCATGGGTAGCAAAATTTCCCAGATATGTTTGACAGGTGTTGAATCATTCCTATTACAGGTATTTGCAGTTGATTCGATAAACAAAGCTTCTGTTATCAATCTCTCCCTCCACCCTGATGTTACATTAGATTTTTAAAACTATTATCTCATCTTATCCCATCCTATTTTATGGTAGTATGTGATTGCATGTAGTGCTATAGCTGAGGTATTCTCTAGATTTCTTATGTTATTCGGGTCAACCAATCTATATTTCTCTAGGTTTTTATGTTCGGCTAGTCTGACTGCCCCTGTCCTGCTAATTTGACCTATGTATTTGACCTGACAATCATTGCAGTGGGGTATAAGATAAAATAAATTGTTTTGTTTTGTAGGCTTCATAGGATCCGTTAACCGGCAAAGCTTGTTTCTAATTGAGTGTGTAGATTTGAATGCCAGTCACTTTTATTCCTGCCTTGCTAAGAATACTGAGTAAGGTTTACGAGGTTCCTTCCTTGTATGGAATTACTACTGATGATTTAGATTCCTCAACGTTGGTGTCGTCATTAATATAATTATTATCACTATTATTATTAACATTATTATTGTTATCATTATTATTATTATCAATATCGCTACTATCATTATTTATTTTTACATTTCCATACATATTTCCTGACTAATTTATCCGGGTAAATACTAAGTTTCAAGGCTTCTTTTATGTGTATCACTTCCTATCTTAGATTTTCCTTGGTACTACTTAGTTTCTGTGCCCCGTTGTCATTTTAACATTTCACCAATCCTATTTTTACTGACATAGGAATGGATGATCGGAAGTTCAAATATCTGTATGAATGTGTGGGTTTCCTGTAAACACCAGTGTTTAACACATTATTGTTATTATTAGTAAACTAATGGACAAGCGAAACATAGGAGTAATCAAAGCTATCTCCCATAGTCTCTATGATGATCAGTGAAACGGATTCATTCGAGGCGAAAACGATTAATCACTACAATCAGAATGATCGCCACCACTACTGGATCAGACAACTCATCCACCAGTTTCGTCAAGTGAATTACAAAAATAATATGACGTGCATTTGTCGTTTTTATTCATTCACATCACTGATATTCTGAGTAGAAACAGTGAGTAGAAACAATGGAAGCGTAGATATTTTTAGAAAGTATCCGACCTCCTCATTAGTGATCATAATCAATGATCACTAGCCCACACATGAAAATAACGCATGAAACGTGTCTGATATGGTATGATAGAACTATTTACACAGTGTGGAATTATTTGTGTGGTTTCAGGTGAACTTCATGCGTTGTTTGTTTTATGAAAGTGTCTCAGTGTTACTAATTATTTAATTTTAGAAGTATTTTCACGAAATGAGAGATTTTTAGCCAGTGTATTGTGTAGAATGTTAAAGAACACTTGAAAATGAGAGTGAATCAGTTGGATGAATGTCTTCCACTGTCCTGCTGATTCAGGTTACATGCTGTACACGAGGCGACTGACTCAAATCACCAGTCAACTGAATCGTTTGCGTCTCACATTTGGCCTTCCGAAATGCACTTCACCACTGTCCGTTGTGTGTATTCTGCCTCAGATTTATAACTTCAGTGTGATGATCAATCCAGTCAGATTGTTCACCGCAACAACGACTCAAGCATTCCAGTTGACGGGGAATAATCTGAGTGCCCCGTTTCAAAATCGTGTGAATACAGTTTATATGATTATGAACAATAACTTTTGTTAGAAACATCATCCAGTAAATAATACTGTATCACTATGTGATACATCTAATAAACAAATTAATATGGAATCATCTCCTTTTATAAAGATGTAAATACATAAAATTTAGAACAGTAATAATAATATTAATTATGGAACCACTAAAAGCAGAATGTCGATGGAAACGTAATGAAGTCTGGGTAGATGGTGTCACAGATAATACACGTAATAATAATCTTTGCTTATACTTCGCTGTTCACTTACTGATTTACAAAGTTTATAAGTTCTTGTCTGACATCCGACTCTCTCTCCACACAAAACCCGTACTAAATATGGTATCGTAGAATTTCTATACTTATATGCACGAGCAGAAATTCTTATTAAGTGTCTTCCGGTTTTACCGAAGAGATATAAGGAGAAAGTTAAGAATACAGAAGATGTTTGGTGGTATCAGACAAGATAACCTTAGACAAATGCTTGCAATAATTCAACTGTCTATTGACAGTGATGTCAGCTAGCTCAGTCAAAATCACACCATCAACCCTACTCACAGTCTCCAGTGTTCTACTTAATATGACAAAGTCTGTTTTGGGAAGTCCAGGGAAGAATGATGGCGAAAATAATGGAAAAAGGGCAGAATTCTTGAATTAACAAATTGTAGGGGAAAAGGGGTTGAGTGATGTGCTGTGTGTCACGAGAAGGTTTTCCAACACATTACAAACGTTCATCAACAGCTGCCTTCGCTCGTTTATGAAGATCAAGTGGCAGGCCATGCAGAATTAGCAACACGAAGCTTTGGGAAGAAAACAACAGGCGAGAGCCGATCTCTCAACAAATAAATAGGATACAATGGGGATGGACGGATCGGGTATGCGCACCAGGTCATCGTGTGCAACTCAAATTAATAGCGACGAGTGAATCATCCTAGAGTGACGTGAGGGAAGTCGTGTGAGGAAGAGATGAAGGAGTTTGGACAATCGTGGACTCAGCTGAAGAGGTTGGAAGGAAAAAGAAGAGAATGGAGATGTGTTGTTGAAGGCATATGCTGCACTCGGAAGCAAAAGAAATAATAATTAATAGTAGTGGAATTAATGCGTTGGATGGATGTTGGGTTTCCTGGTTCCTCTATGTCAAGAGGCAGCCAAATATGTTATAAATGATGTGCGCACTTCTGTTGAAAGCATTTTTGATATCAACTTACACAACTGTTGACGTTGTTTGTGATGTCGCTGTTTGTCAATGTTACTCTGATTGATACCTATGGTGATGACTGAATTTGGTGCTTATATTGAGGCTTGTAGATAAATCGGTAATTCTGTGATTTGTTCTCCGCATTTTCGTCTGGAATCTGAAAACTGTCGGGTAAGAAAATGGAAGTTTCACAAATTTTGTAGAGAAGTATATACGCGGATGAGCCGAAAATGAGAATGATTTCAAAATCACCGCATTAATCCATGGTGTTGACCAGTGAATACTATACGGTGATCATATATATTCACCTACATCCTACCCTCTCTCACCTAGTAATCTCCACTCCATTCCCCACCCTTCGCTGATTATTATTATCATAGCTATTTTTCGTGTCTTTTGTGCTATTATTTTATTACTTTTCACGATATAATCCCTTTATTGCATCATTACCTTCTTGAGTAGGACTCACATTCGCTTTACTCTATTTATTTTTTATATTTTTGTAGTATTCACGTTTCATTCACATCACTGAATATAACTAACCCGTGTAACGTATGTATCTGTGGATTATGAGTGTATAGTCGGGTGATTTACTTGTTTATTCTCACTGTATTCCAAATCCCTGATGACCAGATTTCAGCTGCAATTAAATGACCGTCTGGTTTGTAATTCTAGTTGCCCCAATACAATATCTCTCCGGATTCCAAATGGCCTGCACTGACTGTTGTATTTCGACATTCATGAGATTTCACTATGGAGACTAATCAAGGATTTATTGATAGCCATTAACATAAATGATTCCAGCTCAGAATATATCAAAGTGTGTTGAATGTTAACTTGCAACGAATAAAATATTCAGGTTAAGCTACAGACGAGTATGGCCTATTAAAACCTTCGTAGAGTTGGATGGCTCTACACTTCTGATCGTCCATAACGTATCGCGAGTGTGCTTTCTTCATGTGGACGTCATCACGTGAATTATTGTTACAATTTGTATTAAAGTGTTTCTGCAGACTGATGGATTTCACAACATCTATCAGATTCCACCGATTCATTATGTGAGTCACCTGACATCATGAGACGTTGTTTCACTCACCAATCACAACACTTTCAGTGTTCCCCAAATGAACGATGAAATTATGATTATTATAATCAACCAATCAACAGATTACAACATTAACTGTGGCTGCTGGTTGCGATAGATATATAAGGGAGAGGAAATTCACTTACCATAAGAAGATGAACTACTTTGCATACAGCCACATAACTGTCATCACTCTGTTGGCTTTTGCAGCCATAAATGAAGGTAAGCATTTCTTCGAAAGACTGTATGTTTGTGGTCTATTCCCTATGAAGTTTTCGCCTTATTCACAGGGACTGTTGAATATTTCGCCGGTTACTTACATGGGTCCTTCTCACTGGCTGAGCTGTCACTGCACAATGGTCAATTTGATATGTGCTGTCACCTCAAATGTATCTTGCTTGATAGATGGTGACCAGCAGTGTAACAGCGAAGGCATCTTTCAACTTAGTTTTTATTCAGAAGTAGTCTAGAATAACAGTTGTACAGTAACACGTTTTGTAATTTGTATAGTGTGTTTGTCTAATAATCTTCAATATTCTGAAAGTGTTTCTCTGAATAATAATTCTCCTTTACAATTCTTCATTGAAGTTGAAGGTGAACCGTGGGATGTAAAAATACTTAGAGAACGCCTTACCATAGTAAAAAGTAAGTATGTTTCAAATGCATAATGTTTGAGTTTATCAGTCAGCTTGACAGTTTATCACGACAATAGCATAAGACTGACAAAAGACTTACAATGATTTTTGCTGCGATGAACTTCCTTGATGACTCGAAAATTGATATAATATCATTAAAAAAATATTGTGTGGAGAATGACTGACACGGAGACAGTGCCGCAAATTGATTATCAAATTATAGTAACTGCCTTAACTGATATGCCTTCAGAGACGTCTTCAATGAAACTATTTCACTGTGTGTTATTCACTTGTATTCAATGACCTTACTTACTACATGACAGTTCATACAAGGTGTTCTCGTCTCCCCATAGATATTACACTTGGAATAATTTCTGATCTGGCAGGAGCAGAAGGGAGAGTACAAACCATTAAAGGTAAATAAAACCAAAATCTATATCTGCGATAATATTTTCACGTTGACGAAAATATGCCCTGAATTATACTTTCAAAGTGATTATTATGACGACAACAATACATCATGTTGTCTAGTATGTAAAAGATAATGACACACGAAATATACGTCAACAAAAGTTGTAAACATTCAACGCTTTCCTTCAATTTTCTGTTTTCCTAGAGAGGATTTTCAGTCAGAATCCAACATCACAAGATGCAATAGAAAAACGTAAGCAAACCGAGTGTATTGAAATTACGAACGATGTATTTTAGATTTGGATTGTCTGAAAACTGCATATGAATACAAATGGGGAGTGACAGTATTCGACAGTGCGTTCTAGTATTTTTTTTCAATTAAACTGAAATTTTATTCACGAAATTTATTCACTACATTTGTGATTTCATTTAATAAATTAGAAATCTACCTCCTAATACACTTACAATTGATAATATTCTTTCACGCTGTCATTTCAATAATTAACACCTATCTGACTGCAGAGTGATGAATCGTTTACAAGTTTCTTATTTACAAATTGATCAGATCTACTGAATATACTAACCTCTGTTTATCTTTCAAGCTCTTGCAGAACGTCTCCCTGAAAGTAAGTAAATATTGTAAATAGTTTCTATACCTATTTACTTAATTACCATGATAATTATTTCGCATCAATATTCTGGCTAACAAAATTGACCTGGCGTATATTCTCGTGCTAACATCTCAACCAGTATTTCATGCATGCTTTTTATTTGCTAACGTCAAATAAAGAGGGAGAATTTCCTCATACATGGAGCACGAGGAAGTGATTGACGACAGATGTTCAACTGAGTATTTCTCATTTTGGATACTCATTTACAATCTGTAAATCAGTAGACATATTTTTTTCGTCTGAATTGTGATTGTGTTTGTGTTCAGTTTGAATAATTGTGCATAAATATTACATTGAAAACAATAGAACTGGATCAATGTGTGTGAAACTTATCTATTTACAGACGGTGAGGCGGATTTAAGCGATGTAGTGAATTGTTGCGTGGAAGAATCGTCAGCATATCAGGGTAAGTAGCATTCTATTGCATGCACCATTCAGTCTGAATTGTTTTGTCAGTGTGGAGTAGTGATTTTCACGAATCCAGTCTCCACACATGTGATGTGAATTTATCTTAATAATCAAACTGTTTTGTTACTGTTGCTCATCCATAAATAGAAAAGATGAAGGAGTTTCCTTTGGAAAAATGTCTCCAAAACCTACCTCCAGCGAGTCCCAAAGGTATTCATTTGCTCCTTATTTACATTCATGTTGAAATGAATAACATTTTCACATACATTCACGATAAAAGTATATTTTCATCCGTCACAATACTTTCATCATGATTTGAATTCATGAGTGTCCACTTGTTATACAATATTCAATAATGAGCATTTTCAAAGAGTCAAGAATGATATCTGAAGGAGGATGAACAAGTCCAGTGCTTAGAATGTTGTCAGTCGTTTACAAATAAAACTGTGTAGATGGTGTGATTGTCAGTAGAAACGCACACTGGAAAACAATTCGTTAACTGTGGGAATGAACGAGTACTGACATTCTGCCCTGATGATAGCAGTTTGGACAACGTGCGACGATATCATTCAAGTGGATGAGTTTGTAGATTAATCAGTTGCTTGAATGTGCGCGCGAAACAGGTTTCGAGTTCGAATGTCACTGTATTATTCTGTGGAAAGCATTCTGCTAGATATTCGTTTGTGAATTATTTCAGATCTGGATCAGTTGAATTCAGAAATCGAAGGAGTATTCTACCACCAACACAAGTATGGGATTTACAACTGTGAGTTCATTTTCTCTGCATTGGTAAACTTCACTATCGAAATTATGTATGATAAACATTGTGAAGGAAGTGATGTGATTGAGCGAATAGTCGGTGCCTCTCTAATGTTAGTTATCAGACAAACGCAGTGATATACAGCAATCATTTTCACTGGAAAATTCAAATATTTCACAAAATGTTTTATTATTTCTAGTTTTGCAGAAACTGTACACAACCCAATTGGAGGTGTTGACAGGTGAGATTTATTTCGCATTATATTTCCACATCTTGGCATACAACGGTATGTTAATCCAATGGCGAATCGAGTTTCAAATGCACGAAATGTGAAAGTGTGGAGGATGACGAGGAGGAAACTACAACACAGAATTCATGTACTCATTGCAACACTTAGGCAACATTTTCCACTGTCGACTGGAGTGCCACCACTCAACTCAAATGTTGACTCATGAATGTGTGGTTGAAATTACAGCCTCGAATACGCCTGTTTAGTCGAATGGTGAAATCATCATGAGTGGCGTTGTGAGTAACCGTGTGTATAACCACCAATGAATAATACTATGGCAGCTGTAAATAGATGGTGTCATGAATGTATGAGAATACACATGCACATTTCAATGATGTCACCGAGGTTTTGCAAACTAGGGAAATTCATACGACCGATAGTGAATTATAGAAATGTAGCAACTCGTATGCTCGGACAAATAATGAAGATTCAAATTATCACTCACCGAAAATTTTCAGAATTCGCGGACTCCATGAATAATAATCATTCTTCCTTCCAGTATGCATGTTGCTTTGTTCTTTTACCACTAATATTTATCCAACTAAACTGATGATTTGAATTTATTTTCATACAGCATATTGAAGAGACGTATCTAGACTAACGTCAAGGTCGACGTACTACTGAATACAAGTAGATTGTAGAAGCTTTCGTAAATATTTCTTTTTGGAATTAAATTTAATATATCATTTATCTGCTAAACCGCTTTCTCATCATGAATTCAAGCTTCAATGAACTACTGACTGTGGTGGAGTGTGGTTATTATTTGAGTTCAAGTTTGAGTATTTTTGCAGTGGGCTGTCGTCTTTGAAGATGGAGTAACGTCAGCAGATCGGTCATCAGGTGACTGTTAGGAGACTGATTCCATAAGGTAAAATGTGCTTCAGATACTCCTGAGAGGAGAGAGAGAGAGTTATTAAAGCACAAATTGTGAATTGTGTTATTCATACACATGAACCCTGTGGTAGATGCAATTGGATCAGCTGTTTTATTTGCAAACAAAAGCTTGAAGACATATACACGTCACCGACTTCAGTTCGAATACAGTCGAAGCTATTTATTTGGAGCAAGTGATCACGCATAACATATACAAAGTGGAAGAAGAGCACGTTAAACTCGTTTCCACACCATTTGAAATCGAATAAGTGGCCATATGTCATGCACTGACTCCAGTAATTGACAAATTTATAAAAGATATTCTCTTCATCACTGATACCAACTAGACACCATTAAATAAGCACACAGAATGTTATCTAGATATACTGAAGTGTGTGTAGAATGCGCTTCCATGAACCAGTATGTACCAAGCACATCCGAATCGTTGCGGTGTGAACACAGGGAACCGTTCGTTGCATCCTATGGTCTGGCAGTTTCAAGCTATATAGACAAAAGATACTTAAAGTACAAAATAACTATCATAGGGTGAATAAGTTAACCGAATTTGAACTTTTGAGAGGACCTCAAAATCAAGTAGAATATTCACAAAAATTCTGTTCACACGAATCACACACTAAAGAAATCATAAAATAGTCCAGCGCTTCCTTGATTCACTCAAACTATATCGAGTGGTAAAACAACACACTATCACTGTATCGTGCAGTCACAGAGAGAAGCATTGAACTTAGAGATCTGATGCGGATAAAGACAAATAATGAGCACGAAGTGAAAGTATGATATGCAAATGTCAGAACAATGATAACCAGTCTAGGAGAAAAACAGATAACAACTACAACAAGTTATCATAACTAGATATTCCACGAGAGATTTTCCAAAAAATTAATCCATTACACTCAAGCTTTGTATATTGCTCACAAATCCAATAGACTACACAGAATATTAGGGATTGAGAAATCGCCCACTATCGAATTGAATTGTCAAAGTCGATGAACATGCAGTTGTAAAATTACACTATGTTTGAGTGAGATCGCGAATAGTACGTTGGGAAACGCGGAAATTGAATTTGAAGGAAATAGTTAATTCTAAGGCATAGTCGTACAGTTCGCAGTGGGTATTTGGAGAAGTATATACTTCACGTACGAAAAGGCGTTTGACTACCGTGTGTATAAGATATAATTCTGTCGCCTCTCAAGTTAAATCGAGTGTTGAATGAGTGGTGTTTCAGAATCCAAATCATGTTGTCACCAGATATTCTTGGCATTGGAAACATTACAAATTTCTGACAATGGTATTTCTTCTGTCTCCGTGTGAACATTACATAATCACAGTATTCAGTTAATTCACAGATGAAGCCATCGACCAGATTGACACCATGTCTAGTGAATCTCATATCATTTCAACACTTGTGTGATTATCCACAAACGGATATCCAGCGGGAAAGCCTGAAACCGAAGACGATGAACCGTACATTATGTTCATGTATACGCAATACTGTGGCCTCCAGACACATCAGTTCTCCACTGAATGTCATGTCAAGTATGTCAACAGGATGACATGAAGAAACACTTACTCGTATTCACTGACACCTTCATCTGTGTATATCTGTTAGTCACCTTGTCACTTGCTATCAGCTTTTCGAGCCATCTACAAATTCCTCAGAGATTTCATTTATCAAATTGACTGAATAACACTAGAAAGATACACGAAAGGCAGGATTGACTTGAGACAACGATATTATGACGATTTCATTAATCACAATCATATTGGTCTATTCCCCTGTTTCCACAATGAGTCTATGAAATTTATTTCACAGAATGATTTGGAATCAGGGATTTCATACATCTCACATGATATCGAAAACAACAAAGATGCAAATTCAACTGGAAATTCACTATGGGTAGTATCTAAGTAGAATAATTGCAAACACCAGAAGCGACATGATGAAGATGACCAGATGATGTACAGGTGACATGGAATTATCTTCCCAGTCACGAAACATCCATGAACATTCAAGGATTTGAGTGTCAGCAACCAAACGTTAATCGGAGTCGGATTCTGAATGTTAATCTTTAAATGGAATGGAATTACGAATGTGTTCCCTACACCACGAAAACTCCATTTTCTCTCACTGAGTATAGCCAGTTACACTGAGGTAATCGGTACTTGTAGACGTCAGCGTTTTGGGTAATGATTCCGATTTCGTAAACACCTTCTAGGAACACTTACTTAGCGTGTGGAAACACTTGTAAAAGTACCTCATATTTTCACCTAACACGATATACCAATCATGGTGTCTTTCAATATTCAGACATCTTGGTGAGAGAAATGAAGTCATAGGCAAGCGTATCAGTGAGGAACATACAACGCTAAGAATGATCTATGGTTACTTCTTGAGATGAAGTGGAACTCTGAGAAAATCATCAGGCATGAGGTAGTGAGAACTCTAACCAGCTTGAAGATTTATGTCGACCACTCCACTGTTATTTCCACTCCATCTCACTTTCACAAATTTCGCTATTCAGTCGTTGTTCTCGTCTTCGCCACACTCGCCATATGGACAATTAACAACTTCGCTTCTCATCCGAAAGCAATGTTTTTCTTCACTGTATTTCAGACATTTACTCCGTGATGTCGGTGTAGACTGTGAAGTGACATTCAATAGATAGAATTCACTTCTGAGTGACCGAGTGAATTGAAACAGGAAGCCCTCTCATTACTCAACATTAGATCGCCTTACATTCGAGTAAATCGAAATCAGTTGTACGGTCTTCCAACATGACGTCGTCACTGGGGTAATGGAAGGTGTGTGCAGATGGGAAGTGAATATGGAACAATTCGACTGACCTCTATTCGCTATTAATTTGTGAGGACGGTTTTCATGAGGACTTCACCACACATTAAATAATTCCATCCAAGAGGAAGCCAGTATCAAGAAGCCTAAGTGAACTGTGCATATGAAGTGAAATGGTAAGATTATGCGAAGTAAGCCATATAATATCAGATGTATCAAGGGAACCATGCAGTTCATGAGAGATGCTGAAACTCTTTGCATATGAAATGGCTAGAATGCAATGCTTCACTGACAATCACTGAATATGAGATCTACGTGGATTTCAATGTCTACGGTCTAACTGCCAAGTTGAATTTACACCGCGAACACACAAGGATCATATCAGTTAGGTGTTGTTTACATATTGGAATTTGATAAACGCCTTGAACTTCAGGAAATATTCCGGTTACTGACTCATTTTCGATTGACTACACTGTCACATTGCTGAAACTCTTTAGTTGAGTGAACACAAATCTCTCTGGTCCTTTTTGTGGTGAACTGTCTGAAGTGTATGATGATTGCAGTGAGGTAATCTGTCTGAGGTAAATGCGATTTTTACGACGAATGCTCAGATTTATTTGTACATAACGCATGTGGAGAGTATACAAAGCGCTTCAATTTTGATCAACTTAAATTGTCGCATGTGCAAAAAGTGAAGTGGATCAGTATGAGAGGGCAGGAAATTGACTCAATTAATTCAGCTCCAATTTTCACTGATGTTTCCTATTCTACGCACTATCTGTATGCCTATCGCTTCTTTTGGCTCTCTGAGCTGATCATGCTGAAAAATGAATATAGTCGTACTGAAATTACTGTTTGGAATAAAGTTAATACTTTCACTATTGTGATACTTAAATTATTTCTAAGGTAAAATTATTTTTGAAAGAGTGACAAGTACTCACACACATCTCGTGATGTTGACCTCAAATAACACAAATATTTCTTCATTCCGTAATCAATCGTGTGTTTTCAATATCCTTCTGTTTGTATGGTGTTCATAATCTTTACTAATCAATATTCCACTAGCACACTTGTACTGAGCATTCTGTATCTTTAGGTAGTGTGCGTGAAAAAACGCAAATATTTCTTCATTCTGTAAGCGTTTATGCGTCATCTCCACTATCTTCTATAATCACTCCTCAGTAACAACAATGGTATACGTTGAAACACAAGTGTGTGACCAACACGTAGCCTAGCAATCTAAGTAACAATAATAATTTCAGAAATAAAAGAATTGTGATTCTTATTACTGGTCAGTGTTCCAGGTGGAACATCACAATTGAAGAGCACATCTCCATTTCATACTTATCCCTAGACTCCCTTCTATCTGACAATACTAGAAATTATCATTATTATTTATTTTATTATTGCTCCCTTGGGTTCCCAGTGGAACATAGGGCTTCAGCTGCACGTCTCCACTTGCTTCTGTCTTCTGCTGTACTTTTCACCTCCATCCATGTTAGTCCATACTCTTTCAACTCCTCTTCACACGATCTCCTCCATGTCACTCTGGGACGTCCCACACGCCGCTTCCCTTTCGGGTTCCACTCGAGCAATGGCCTGACGCGCGATGTCACCCAGAGGTCTCCTCAGCGAGTGTCCGATCCATCTCCACTTTCTCCTGGATATTTGTTGGCTGATGATTGGTTCTTGTTTTATTTGTTCCCATAGTTCCTTGTTGGTGATTCTTTCCGGCCCGGCCATCTGATCTTCAGTATAGAGCGAAGACAGTTGTTGATTAAGGTCTGCAACAGGCTGTTGGAAATATTCTTTGTGACCCACCCGCCAAGTTTCTGATCCGTATAGAAGAACTGACTGACTTACGTTTGTATTGAAAATCCGACTGAATTTTGTTGTT